ACTAAAAGCAGTAAAATTTGGAAACATAACAATAAGTGAATAAATAAAAAAACAATTATATTAACTTACCTGTTTCATTTAATGATAAACTGATAGTCATTTTTGAATGAAGTCTTTGATTCGTTTGTAATAGATGAATAAATGCCATACAATTATCAGGTAGAGTAGATTTACTCCATTTCACTTTTTGTGTTGTCGGTGATATATTCTCTACTTCAAAGTGACTTTCAGATATAACCTCTAAAGTAAAACAAAAGAATTACAAAATTGTACAGATATCAGATACTAATTAAGAACAAATAAGTCAGCAAAGATATCTCGTTCTTGGTAACTTTTCTTCAAAGCTAATGCACATTGTTATTATTCTCTCGGGTTCCGGATCAACAATAAGGCTTCAGCATCACATGTACACTTTGTCCTATTTTTGCAGGCCCCACATTTGATCACAAGCTGTCATCTCCTCCGCATACGATCTCTACCATGTTACCCTCGGGTTCCCAGCTTATCATCTTCCATCAGAGTTTCACTTGAGAGTGTGGAGCACGATGTCATGCAATGGTCTCCCAGACGTGTATCCTATCCATCTTCACTTTTCTCTACATATTTGTCGAACGATATGTTCTAGGTTAGTTTGTTCCCACAATTTGTTATTGCTAATTCTTTCTTTTCATTTGATCTTCATTCAGAAGAGAAGGCAGATATTGATAAAAGTTGGCAACTTGTTGGAAATGCTTTCCGAATTGCGCCAGATTTCTAACCGATTTGGATGAGGTAACTTATAATCGGTATTGAAGATCCAAACTTTTTTCTATATGCTTAGTGCAGAAAACTTCCACACTGAATTCAGAGTGATGGAGGTCTATCAAAGTTTTCTGATTCTGATTCAGATATCTCTATTTGCTCCGACTGTAGCTGAAATGGCGCTGCTCAGATAAATGAAGGAAGTGACCTCTATCAGATTTCTTCCATTGATAGTGATCGGTACATGTTATTGGTGTTGGTTAGTTGTTTTCATCACCTCCATCTTTCCAGCGTTCACTTAAAGTTCTGTCTTAGCTACCTACTTCCTCCGCCAGCTTCTTAGTTTTCTCCCGTAAGTCTTCGAGTTTATGTGATATTACATATAAACCATCAACAAACCTAGATCTTCTAGATTATTCTTATAGATCCAACATATTCCTGTTTTCTCACTTTCAAGCACAGTCCAAAGCACAATCCATCAGATTTAGGAATATCGTGTGTGATAGTAGACAGTACATTTGTCCCACTCCTGTATTCCCTTCAAAAGTCCCGCTGAGTTTTCCACCAGTGTGGGTTACTTGACATGTTAGTTATTTATGTGGTTCTATGTGATACAACAATAATTGCTAGAAAAAATTAGTGATCATTGTCAGTAGTCAGAAAGATAAAGCAGAATGCATGAAAAACAGTAATATGTGAACAATAATGAATAACCTTAATCAGTCGAGAAGGTGAGTAAGTAATGAGTGGTTAAATGATAGATAGTTATTTAGAATAAATTGACAGCAAACGAACAGTACAACGAACTCACAGTGAGACAAAAAAACAAAATTACACACAGCTTATGACGCAACAAACCAGAAAAACAAAAACTGACAATAAAACCATGCTAATTAAAGAAGTTGAACGCGAAATTCTGGTTTTTTCTTATAGATCACAAGAACTTATACTGAATAAGGATTTAACCGAAATTCTTTCAACCTTCTTGATCTGACTGTATATATATTTATATTATTCCGAGTGACGTCTATGCTGAGACTGCATTATCAGAAGTAGTAATGTACTTCAGAATTGAGTTGTTGATTGTTCTTTTTTCGTTTTCACGAGTATGCCCAACCAGTGTCCTGCTGGTACATCCTATGTATTACTAAATAAACACAAAAACTATCAACAGCGAGATTTTATCACTTGACACTTCGGTGCATGTGTAGAGGTGGAAAATGTTGTCAAATGTAATGTTAGATCAGGGATTTCTCTTACAGCTGCTTCAAGCAACAAAAGCTATTGTTACCTAATAGGGAGACCGCTAACTTTTTGTTACGAAGCATTTTATGTGGCCTCTTTTACTACTACGTCTTCATTCTTTTCTTGATTTGTTACGTATTGAAACCAATGTAACTTTTTCTGTGTTTCACTCTAATTTCTCTGTGCTCATTTCTCTTATCAGTTAACTGTAAGCCACTATTCATCGGCTACACTATATCAATTAAGTATGGCTATTCATTATTTTGCACCATATTGTTATTTCGTATTCACTCTGATTTGAATTTGCTATTCACTGACAAAAACCTCTGACTACTGTTAGCAATTTACACTATTTTATTTTAGAAAACGGTGCTAAACAAATGGTACAACTTCAGCATTATACTTATATCACTATCTTTCACTTGTTGACAGACAGGATAATGAACGAGATTTATTTGCCTAAAATATTTAAAAATAAATGTTGAAATTATTTGCAACAGCTTTTTGACTCGAGAATTGTTCTTCGATGGTTCAATGGTAGAAGGCTTGGCAGCTACTCACTCCCGTTGGGTTTGAATTCCTGGTCGGAGCACTCCTAAATCAGCCACCTTGGTATTAAGACCGGAAGAAGGGGGAAGTCTTGGCATGAGACTTACAACCTCACCCGTAAAATTGACAGCACTACCTCCAGCAAAGACTCAAATGAATGAAAAAGCCTAGTTCATGGTGAAATGAAATTCTAGTTCCTGGCGCAATTCAAGTCAGTGGCTTCTAGCAACTGTGTTATACAATTTGATGGAAATTTTAAGGTTAGCTATTCCCTTAAAGAGACATTCCAATAAACGGATATTTCTTCTCTATGTCTAACTGCTTGGTGTATTCTTCACCTTCGAAATTAGTAAACATCATATTTGAAGTTCTGTGAGGTTCCACTGTTCATTCAGATACACAAATGTCTTACATACTTTATTTAATTCCAATGATACGTTATTCTCTGTGTAATTATAGTTCTGTCTATAGGTTTCTGTATATTGTATTATCTTTGCATTTGTTTTTGTCTCTCTACCTTCATGTGCATTTATATGAATAAATTAATAAATTGAAATTTAGATTGTAGGGAATTTGTAGCGATTTAGATTCATTTCAACGTAGATCTATTCAACACAAGCCAACACCAGTTAGGAATTATTGAAAGCCAGGGAGCTGTACAATAGTACAGCTGTTTCGTCCTAGTTCAGGACTTTTCATCGGTGCGCATTCACTTCCCCACAAAGGATCGAGGCCAGGATCCTCAGGACCTAAGGTCTTTGTGCATTCACCTAGTGAATTTGATTACAATAACCCGTGATTCCTAACCTTCAGCAGATTTGCGCTATATATAACACTACCACCAACCAATGCCCTCCGTGAGCATGGTTGGTCACACTGGCCACAACTTTTGAGTACAGCTTTAAGACACTTATCCAGCCACTATCGGTAAGCTGGAGACAGACATCTGGATTTTGGGCTTTTTTTCGAGCTTCCCGGTCTTAAATCATGTCTCTAATTGGTGTTGGTGTCAGAAAAAATCTACAATGAAATAGTTTGAAATATTGTACATTTCATGCAAAATCATTCATCCACCATTATAAAGGTTTTGTATTTTTCAATGGATGGAAAAACAAAAAGATAATTTTTTGCATTACTAAGACTCTCAAGAAAAACAGCTGCCCGAAGAACTTCTTTAATATGAACAACACCGATACTAAATATGGTTGGAAACGTATTCCAAAGACAACGGCCTCAACTGTTGTCATTCCATATAGATCAGAAACTTCAGACGATATCAGAAGGGCATTCAATCAGCACAACATCAGAGTTTTCTTCAAAACTCCAGATACAGTGGAAAGCAACTTTGTTCATGTAAAAGACCAAATCCCTAAGGATTCTCAATCTGATTGTGTCTACAAAATAAATTCCTTGGAATATGGTGCCATGTACATCGGACAAACATCGCGATAAATCAAAATCAGAAGAAATGAACACCATAATGCATCTGATCGATCACCAAAATATCAAGCTGAACTACAAAAGCTTGAAAAATCATCAGCCATGGGTTTACACGCTATAGAATCAGGTCACAGAATTGATTTAGCCCATATTGAAATATTTCAGAAGAATTTCAGAAGTCACAAGGAACGTTAAACATCATCAGAAGCACATTATATCGAATGGAATCCAAATTTTCTGAATAGGAATGACGGAATAAAACAAAGTTGGACCTTTTTATTACAACTTGATTCTACACTGTACTTTTGGTAAAGTGTGAAATTTTCAGCATGGATATAGGTGGCCGGAATTTCGCAGGCCGACCATAGATATCAGGTGTGCGTCAGCAGGGGATCGAACCTCGGACCATATACTTGGTCGATAAGAGTCCTAACTACTGTGCCACCTGGTTACAAGACCTTCCTCCCAAAAGAACTGACGAAATCAACACGAATGTGACATGCAATTTCATTTTGTATGCACATGCTGCTTTAATAATTATATACACTTGTCATATCCAGCAATCTACACTGATGATTTCGTTATCTTTACCATTAGGCCAATGTGATAAAGCATACATTACCCGCGGCTGGTGAACGATGATTAATTTGTTATATATAGGGTGAGATTTGGTAAATTCCTGTTTAATAAATATACTTTGATGAAGCTATTAGCAACACTAAATAGTGAAAGGTCGGTAAAAGCAACTGTATCGTTTCTCTTTTACAATCATTCAGAAATACAAAAATAATGAATATTATATATCTAATGCACAAATTTTTTCAATCTGTTATACATATAAAATTCTACATCATTTAGCAAGGAGTAAAACACGTGTAATTTATTTTTCTTAAATAAACATATAAAATACAATATTGACTAACTTGGTATTGAAGTAGTTATAGATATCGGTATTGACCAATCACTTGACTTCATTAAAACTGTACTCATTGTTCTCATTTGAATAATATAAAAACTGCATACAGTTAAATTGTCAATGGTATATTTAAATTCGTCAAGAGAATTGGATAATGATGAGATTTGATTAATCCTGACGCTTTTAGTGGACTATTTAACAGAATTTCATAGGCAGATATTAAAGAAAGGCACGACAGTTTCTGTTGTAATAAAGGAGATGACCAAGATACGTCAAATGATTTCGATGTTATATTGCTTATTCTAATACTCACTGGTGGTTTCAACTTTAATCCGTGACATAAATCTATGAGAGAAAAGTAAAAAGATAACAATGAAAAACGTCAACACAAAATGGTGTTAGTAAACTAAAGAGAGGTAATTTTCTACTTTGTTCATTGTCTAAAAGATGCGTTGAAGGTTCAGAGATGGAGTGCTTGCAAACAACTCCGCAGCATTTGACTACCCATTCACGTATGCCTAAACCTCGGTTAGCCAGTAGTAAGCCCTTTCAAGAAAGAAGGTCATGCCTGCGGCTAGTAATCCCCATTCTGTAAAAAAGAACACTAATATTATTATCAAAACCTCAAGGCTTAAAGCTTAGAGCCACCTAAATTCCATTCAAAACGCAAAGTTATAGGAAAAATATTTTCTAAGACACAATTCATTAATAAAATATCCAGAAGATATTAGGATGAATTACACATAAATCCAATACCATATATGTAATAAAAGCAAACTATCTAGTCCCTGGAACGTAAAACAGAGTCTACCTGCTAGCAAAAGACGCTTAGCTCAGACGTTGGAGCAGCATAGGTGAATCGTAGTATGGATATACGTTTCCTACAAAGAGTTCAAAAAGGCATTTTTAAATATTGATTATAACAAGAACCCGAAAAGCTAGTAGGTTTCATGACTATCCGAAGCAAATCCTATCGTTTCAGTGCATTTCCATATATATATATATATATATATATATATATATATATATATATATATATATATATATATATATATATATATATATATATATATATATAACTGAAACAGTCGTAGCTAGAATTCTCTTGATCATTCCGCGACTAAGCGGGCATACTTAGACTGAATTTCTTTAGATCAGAGTGAATGTCACCTGCTCTTGCACAGACGAAAGCCATCACATTATACACACCCAAAACCATACATCCTGCCGATCACATACTACTTGCATGGATCAGCTTTCCCTGTTTCACTTCATCACTGGCTCTGGCTGCCAAATTCACCAGTCCTTCCAGACTATATACCTGTTGTCTGTTACACAGGAATATGCAACATTCAAACAAATATGCTCAATTATATCCTCTACTCCACTTACTCAATTTGGTGACTTCACCGATCGACAGTGGACTACCACTCAATGTCTGATTAGTTGTCGGTGTTGTTGTTGTTGTTGAAGCCACATTTGAGGAGTGTGAAAGTGAAGAGGCATAGAAATAATAATAAGTGAAGACAGAATAATATGGGGAGGAAACCCTCTTACACAATTCAATGTTACATAAAATTTTAGTCTCAGTTCTACATGCTTAATAAGTATTTTCCTGTTTTGTCTTCTCCCAGTTTGTCATTTACATCAATGTTTCGAATTTAGACGTCATTATTTGACTGAGGAATATATAAGATATGAAAATATATTCTCTTGATGGTAATTCTTCGTGTACTAATGTACCATTGATTCACACTGTTGATATTCTTTGTGACTACATACCTTTTATTTGTTTTTCATTGCCTTTTCGTTTAACTTATTTAAAAGATTTATTACTATTATGTAGTGACAACATCAATTTCACATTTGAAGATAAGCATTTTCGACAAGTGGATCGTTTTGCTGTGGGAAGTCTGTTAGGATCAATGTTGGTGTACGTTTATATGCCTTATCGTGAAATATTGTCCTTTGATTTAATTTATAAAGTGTCATTCTATAAGAGTTATGTAGATGACATTAGTTTGATATGCGACGATCATCACGGTGCAAGCCATTCACTGGATAGACTTAATTCCGCACAGAATCATATAAGTCGCGCATGCGAAGGCAGAAAGTCGTAACCAGCTTGCATTTTAAGACATACTTCTGAGTCGGAGAGACGATAGTTTAATTAAGCGATCAATTCACAAAAAACCTTACTTGGACAAGGCGATAAATACATTTTCACAGATTCTGTCCCCCAAAGAATATGAGTGACTTCATGAAGTGGTTATTCAAAGCAAATTCAGGGAATCAGAAGAAAAAAATCAAACATAATTGATAGTCTTCTTGGAAAAGAATATCCTTGAAAAAAATTCAAACAATGTAGAAGTCAAGACGTTTTAAAACCTGAGGACAAAATAGGGACCTAAAATAAACGAAAATCTCAAGCAGAAGGAAAGATTGCAAAAATACAGATAGAATACCGCAAAAAACAGAAAATAATAACAGAAAACAATGTGATTAAACAAAACAAAGAAAAATGCGATAAAAACAAAACAAGAAGAAAACATTTCAAAATTCCAAAAAAAATTTACTCACAGAGCAGCAGAAAAAATGAACGATATTGCGAATTCATAGTAATAATCAATTGAGGTGAATGCTGTGTATTTTGTGAAAATTGGTTGCTCACATACCTCTCGTTAGCATATGAGACCTTGTTCAAAATATCATGGCTAAAATGTTCGAATGACACCTGATCACTGTGACAATAAGGTAGTACACTCTCACCGAATTGACTGAGAATCTAGTGACTATTATCATATCTGACACAGACTAACGTGGCATTATTCCACACAATGATAATCATACCGTCTATGGATTACATGTTACCTTCTATGGATTGCCATTTTCGGGGACTGTCACAGGCTAAATTTTTTCATCGGCGAACATAGGATGCAAACTTCACCAAACACTTCACTCTGTCTAACGGTTGTCAATAACTTGGAATTGATAGTGTTCTCTGAGCTCCTTGGTTTAATTGCGGAGCTTTCATCGTCTTTCTGGACGACATCTTCAGCGCAGTATTTACCATAAAGTGAAATGATTTAAATTTCTTCATGAGTCTCCCGGTAACCATCTTTAGATATTTATTGACCGTTTTCTATTGTCAATAACACAAGAATATACAACGCACAAACAAATGTGCTCAACAATATCTCCCCTCCACTAACTTACTCAATTCAATGGCTTGATCACTCGACTCTTGACCACTACTCGATGTCTGAATAGTTGCTGTTGGTGGTGGTAGTGTTGCTGCTGCTGTTGTTGTTGTTGTTGTTGACACGACAGACTGGTTTGTTGAAGCCACATTTGAGGAGTCTGGAAGTGGAGAGGTAGTAGAAGAAGAAGAAGAAGAAGTGGAATCAGATAATTGAATATAGAAGGATGTTGTGGTGAAACTGTCCTACACATTTCAATGATAAACACACACACACACACACATACACAATTGCACTTTCGAATCTGTATGTGCAGTTGACTGGGTTTTCGGTGTCTGTGCATAGTGCAGTTCACTACCGATTGGTGGTATGCTTCGTTGATTTCCGTTTATACAGCAGTGTTGAACGCCTCACCTACTGGTGATGTACGTTCTGTAGGATTTGTGTGGTATTCATCCCACCCTCAGACAATCTCGGCGTCAAACCAGTTGACTTGATTTGAACACACATTACATAAACTGTGTGCAACATCAACTGCCCTATCCGCTCATGCGTTCTGCCATCCATTCTTTTGTGGACTCATAGTAATCTCTCAGTTTAGGCGAATGCTGTGTATTTTGTGAAAATCGGTTGCTCACATACCTCTCGTTAGCATATGAGACCTTGTTCAAAATATCATGGCTAAAATGTTCGAATGACACCTGATCACTGTGACAATAAGGTAGTACACTCTCACCGAATTGACTGAGAATCTAGTGACTATTATCATATCTGACACAGACTAACGTGGCATTATTCCACACACTGATAATCATACCGTCTATGGATTACATGTTACCTTCTATGGATTGCCATTTTCGGGGACTGTCACAGGCTAAATTTTTTCATCGGCGAACATAGGATGCAAACTTCACCAAACACTTCACTCTGTCTAACGGTTGTCAATAACTTGGAATTGATAGTGTTCTCTGAGCTCCTTGGTTTAATTGCGGAGCTTTCATCGTCTTTCTGGACGACATCTTCAGCGCAGTATTTACCATAAAGTGAAATGATTTAAATTTCTTCATGAGTCTCCCGGTAACCATCTTTAGATATTTATTGACCGTTTTCTATTGTCAATAACACAAGAATATACAACGCACAAACAAATGTGCTCAACAATATCTCCCCTCCACTAACTTACTCAATTCAATGGCTTGATCACTCGACTCTTGACCACTACTCGATGTCTGAATAGTTGCTGTTGGTGGTGGTAGTGTTGCTGCTGCTGTTGTTGTTGTTGTTGTTGACACGACAGACTGGTTTGTTGAAGCCACATTTGAGGAGTCTGGAAGTGGAGAGGTAGTAGAAGAAGAAGAAGAAGAAGTGGAATCAGATAATTGAATATAGAAGGATGTTGTGGTGAAACTGTCCTACACATTTCAATGATAAACACACACACACACACATACACAATTGCACTTTCGAATCTGTATGTGCAGTTGACTGGGTTTTCGGTGTCTGTGCATAGTGCAGTTCACTACCGATTGGTGGTATGCTTCGTTGATTTCCGTTTATACAGCAGTGTTGAACGCCTCACCTACTGGTGATGTACGTTCTGTAGGATTTGTGTGGTATTCATCCCACCCTCAGACAATCTCGGCGTCAAACCAGTTGACTTGATTTGAACACACATTACATAAACTGTGTGCAACATCAACTGCCCTATCCGCTCATGCGTTCTGCCATCCATTCTTTTGTGGACTCATAGTAATCTCTCAGTTTAGGCGAATGCTGTGTATTTTGTGAAAATCGGTTGCTCACATACCTCTCGTTAGCATATGAGACCTTGTTCAAAATATCATGGCTAAAATGTTCGAATGACACCTGATCACTGTGACAATAAGGTAGTACACTCTCACCTAATTGACTGAGAATCTAGTGACTATTATCATATCTGACACAGACTAACGTGGCATTATTCCACACACTGATAATCATACCGTCTATGGATTACATGTTACCTTCTATGGATTGCCATTTTCGGGGACTGTCACAGGCTAAATTTTTTCATCGGCGAACATAGGATGCAAACTTCACCAAACACTTCACTCTGTCTAACGGTTGTCAATAACTTGGAATTGATAGTGTTCTCTGAGCTCCTTGGTTTAATTGCGGAGCTTTCATCGTCTTTCTGGACGACATCTTCAGCGCAGTATTTACCATAAAGTGAAATGATTTAAATTTCTTCATGAGTCTCCCGGTAACCATCTTTAGATATTTATTGACCGTTTTCTATTGTCAATAACACAAGAATATACAACGCACAAACAAATGTGCTCAACAATATCTCCCCTCCACTAACTTACTCAATTCAATGGCTTGATCACTCGACTCTTGACCACTACTCGATGTCTGAATAGTTGCTGTTGGTGGTGGTAGTGTTGCTGCTGCTGTTGTTGTTGTTGTTGTTGACACGACAGACTGGTTTGTTGAAGCCACATTTGAGGAGTCTGGAAGTGGAGAGGTAGTAGAAGAAGAAGAAGAAGAAGTGGAATCAGATAATTGAATATAGAAGGATGTTGTGGTGAAACTGTCCTACACATTTCAATGATAAACACACACACACACACACACATACACAATTGCACTTTCGAATCTGTATGTGCAGTTGACTGGGTTTTCGGTGTCTGTGCATAGTGCAGTTCACTACCGATTGGTGGTATGCTTCGTTGATTTCCGTTTATACAGCAGTGTTGAACGCCTCACCTACTGGTGATGTACGTTCTGTAGGATTTGTGTGGTATTCATCCCACCCTCAGACAATCTCGGCGTCAAACCAGTTGACTTGATTTGAACACACATTACATAAACTGTGTGCAACATCAACTGCCCTATCCGCTCATGCGTTCTGCCATCCATTCTTTTGTGGACTCATAGTAATCTCTCAGTTTAGGCGAATGCTGTGTATTTTGTGAAAATCGGTTGCTCACATACCTCTCGTTAGCATATGAGACCTTGTTCAAAATATCATGGCTAAAATGTTCGAATGACACCTGATCACTGTGACAATAAGGTAGTACACTCTCACCGAATTGACTGAGAATCTAGTGACTATTATCATATCTGACACAGACTAACGTGGCATTATTCCACACACTGATAATCATACCGTCTATGGATTACATGTTACCTTCTATGGATTGCCATTTTCGGGGACTGTCACAGGCTAAATTTTTTCATCGGCGAACATAGGATGCAAACTTCACCAAACACTTCACTCTGTCTAACGGTTGTCAATAACTTGGAATTGATAGTGTTCTCTGAGCTCCTTGGTTTAATTGCGGAGCTTTCATCGTCTTTCTGGACGACATCTTCAGCGCAGTATTTACCATAAAGTGAAATGATTTAAATTTCTTCATGAGTCTCCCGGTAACCATCTTTAGATATTTATTGACCGTTTTCTATTGTCAATAACACAAGAATATACAACGCACAAACAAATGTGCTCAACAATATCTCCCCTCCACTAACTTACTCAATTCAATGGCTTGATCACTCGACTCTTGACCACTACTCGATGTCTGAATAGTTGCTGTTGGTGGTGGTAGTGTTGCTGCTGCTGTTGTTGTTGTTGTTGTTGACACGACAGACTGGTTTGTTGAAGCCACATTTGAGGAGTCTGGAAGTGGAGAGGTAGCAGAAGAAGAAGAAGAAGAAGTGGAATCAGATAATTGAATATAGAAGGATGTTGTGGTGAAACTGTCCTACACATTTCAATGATAAACACACACACACACACACACATACACAATTGCACTTTCGAATCTGTATGTGCAGTTGACTGGGTTTTCGGTGTCTGTGCATAGTGCAGTTCACTACCGATTGGTGGTATGCTTCGTTGATTTCCGTTTATACAGCAGTGTTGAACGCCTCACCTACTGGTGATGTACGTTCTGTAGGATTTGTGTGGTATTCATCCCACCCTCAGACAATCTCGGCGTCAAACCAGTTGACTTGATTTGAACACACACTACATAAACTGTGTGCAACATCAACTGCCCTATCCGCTCATGCGTTCTGCCATCCATTCTTTTGTGGACTCATAGTAATCTCTCAGTTTAGGCGAATGCTGTATATTTTGTGAAAATCGGTTGCTCACATACCTCTCGTTAGCATATGAGACCTTGTTCAAAATATCATGGCTAAAATGTTCGAATGACACCTGATCACTGTGACAATAAGGTAGTACACTCTCACCGAATTGACTGAGAATCTAGTGACTATTATCATATCTGACACAGACTAACGTGGCATTATTCCACACACTGATAATCATACCGTCTATGGATTACATGTTACCTTCTATGGATTGCCATTTTCGGGGACTGTCACAGGCTAAATTTTTTCATCGGCGAACATAGGATGCAAACTTCACCAAACACTTCACTCTGTCTAACGGTTGTCAATAACTTGGAATTGATAGTGTTCTCTGAGCTCCTTGGTTTAATTGCGGAGCTTTCATCGTCTTTCTGGACGACATCTTCAGCGCAGTATTTACCATAAAGTGAAATGATTTAAATTTCTTCATGAGTCTCCCGGTAACCATCTTTAGATATTTATTGACCGTTTTCTATTGTCAATAACACAAGAATATACAACGCACAAACAAATGTGCTCAACAATATCTCCCCTCCACTAACTTACTCAATTCAATGGCTTGATCACTCGACTCTTGACCACTACTCGATGTCTGAATAGTTGCTGTTGGTGGTGGTAGTGTTGCTGCTGCTGTTGTTGTTGTTGTTGTTGACACGACAGACTGGTTTGTTGAAGCCACATTTGAGGAGTCTGGAAGTGGAGAGGTAGTAGAAGAAGAAGAAGAAGAAGTGGAATCAGATAATTGAATATAGAAGGATGTTGTGGTGAAACTGTCCTACACATTTCAATGATAAACACACACACACACACACATACACAATTGCACTTTCGAATCTGTATGTGCAGTTGACTGGGTTTTCGGTGTCTGTGCATAGTGCAGTTCACTACCGATTGGTGGTATGCTTTGTTGATTTCCGTTTATACAGCAGTGTTGAACGCCTCACCTACTGGTGATGTACGTTCTGTAGGATTTGTGTGGTATTCATCCCACCCTCAGACAATCTCGGCGTCAAACCAGTTGACTTGATTTGAACACACATTACATAAACTGTGTGCAACATCAACTGCCCTATCCGCTCATGCGTTCTGCCATCCATTCTTTTGTGGACTCATAGTAATCTCTCAGTTTAGGCGAATGCTGTGTATTTTGTGAAAATCGGTTGCTCACATACCTCTCGTTAGCATATGAGACCTTGTTCAAAATATCATGGCTAAAATGTTCGAATGACACCTGATCACTGTGACAATAAGGTAGTACACTCTCACCGAATTGACTGAGAATCTAGTGACTATTATCATATCTGACACAGACTAACGTGGCATTATTCCACACACTGATAATCATACCGTCTATGGATTACATGTTACCTTCTATGGATTGCCATTTTCGGGGACTGTCACAGGCTAAATTTTTTCATCGGCGAACATAGGATGCAAACTTCACCAAACACTTCACTCTGTCTAACGGTTGTCAATAACTTGGAATTGATAGTGTTCTCTGAGCTCCTTGGTTTAATTGCGGAGCTTTCATCGTCTTTCTGGACGACATCTTCAGCGCAGTATTTACCATAAAGTGAAATGATTTAAATTTCTTCATGAGTCTCCCGGTAACCATCTTTAGATATTTATTGACCGTTTTCTATTGTCAATAACACAAGAATATACAACGCACAAACAAATGTGCTCAACAATATCTCCCCTCCACTAACTTACTCAATTCAATGGCTTGATCACTCGACTCTTGACCACTACTCGATGTCTGAATAGTTGCTGTTGGTGGTGGTAGTGTTGCTGCTGCTGTTGTTGTTGTTGTTGTTGACACGACAGACTGGTTTGTTGAAGCCACATTTGAGGAGTCTGGAAGTGGAGAGGTAGCAGAAGAAGAAGAAGAAGAAGTGGAATCAGATAATTGAATATAGAAGGATGTTGTGGTGAAACTGTCCTACACATTTCAATGATAAACACACACACACACACACATACACAATTGCACTTTCGAATCTGTATGTGCAGTTGACTGGGTTTTCGGTGTCTGTGCATAGTGCAGTTCACTACCGATTGGTGGTATGCTTCGTTGATTTCCGTTTATACAGCAGTGTTGAACGCCTCACCTACTGGTGATGTACGTTCTGTAGGATTTGTGTGGTATTCATCCCACCCTCAGACAATCTCGGCGTCAAACCAGTTGACTTGATTTGAACACACACTACATAAACTGTGTGCAACATCAACTGCCCTATCCGCTCATGCGTTCTGCCATCCATTCTTTTGTGGACTCATAGTAATCTCTCAGTTTAGGCGAATGCTGTATATTTTGTGAAAATCGGTTGCTCACATACCTCTCGTTAGCATATGAGACCTTGTTCAAAATATCATGGCTAAAATGTTCGAATGACACCTGATCACTGTGACAATAAGGTAGTACACTCTCACCGAATTGACTGAGAATCTAGTGACTATTATCATATCTGACACAGACTAACGTGGCATTATTCCACACACTGATAATCATACCGTCTATGGATTACATGTTACCTTCTATGGATTGCCATTTTCGGGGACTGTCACAGGCTAAATTTTTTCATCGGCGAACATAGGATGCAAACTTCACCAAACACTTCACTCTGTCTAACGGTTGTCAATAACTTGGAATTGATAGTGTTCTCTGAGCTCCTTGGTTTAATTGCGGAGCTTTCATCGTCTTTCTGGACGACATCTTCAGCGCAGTATTTACCATAAAGTGAAATGATTTAAATTTCTTCATGAGTCTCCCGGTAACCATCTTTAGATATTTATTGACCGTTTTCTATTGTCAATAACACAAGAATATACAACGCACAAACAAATGTGCTCAACAATATCTCCCCTCCACTAACTTACTCAATTCAATGGCTTGATCACTCGACTCTTGACCACTACTCGATGTCTGAATAGTTGCTGTTGGTGGTGGTAGTGTTGCTGCTGCTGTTGTTGTTGTTGTTGTTGACACGACAGACTGGTTTGTTGAAGCCACATTTGAGGAGTCTGGAAGTGGAGAGGTAGTAGAAGAAGAAGAAGAAGAAGTGGAATCAGATAATTGAATATAGAAGGATGTTGTGGTGAAACTGTCCTACACATTTCAATGATAAACACACACACACACACACATACACAATTGCACTTTCGAATCTGTATGTGCAGTTGACTGGGTTTTCGGTGTCTGTGCATAGTGCAGTTCACTACCGATTGGTGGTATGCTTTGTTGATTTCCGTTTATACAGCAGTGTTGAACGCCTCACCTACTGGTGATGTACGTTCTGTAGGATTTGTGTGGTATTCATCCCACCCTCAGACAATCTCGGCGTCAAACCAGTTGACTTGATTTGAACACACATTACATAAACTGTGTGCAACATCAACTGCCCTATCCGCTCATGCGTTCTGCCATCCATTCTTTTGTGGACTCATAGTAATCTCTCAGTTTAGGCGAATGCTGTGTATTTTGTGAAAATCGGTTGCTCACATACCTCTCGTTAGCATATGAGACCTTGTTCAAAATATCATGGCTAAAATGTTCGAATGACACCTGATCACTGTGACAATAAGGTAGTACACTCTCACCGAATTGACTGAGAATCTAGTGACTATTATCATATCTGACACAGACTAACGTGGCATTATTCCACACACTGATAATCATACCGTCTATGGATTACATGTTACCTTCTATGGATTGCCATTTTCGGGGACTGTCACAGGCTAAATTTTTTCATCGGCGAACATAGGATGCAAACTTCACCAAACACTTCACTCTGTCTAACGGTTGTCAATAACTTGGAATTGATAGTGTTCTCTGAGCTCCTTGGTTTAATTGCGGAGCTTTCATCGTCTTTCTGGACGACATCTTCAGCGCAGTATTTACCATAAAGTGAAATGATTTAAATTTCTTCATGAGTCTCCCGGTAACCATCTTTAGATATTTATTGACCGTTTTCTATTGTCAATAACACAAGAATATACAACGCACAAACAAATGTGCTCAACAATATCTCCCCTCCACTAACTTACTCAATTCAATGGCTTGATCACTCGACTCTTGACCACTACTCGATGTCTGAATAGTTGCTGTTGGTGGTGGTAGTGTTGCTGCTGCTGTTGTTGTTGTTGTTGTTGACACGACAGACTGGTTTGTTGAAGCCACATTTGAGGAGTCTGGAAGTGGAGAGGTAGTAGAAGAAGAAGAAGAAGAAGTGGAATCAGATAATTGAATATAGAAGGATGTTGTGGTGAAACTGTCCTACACATTTCAATGATAAACACACACACACACACACACATACACAATTGCACTTTCGAATCTGTATGTGCAGTTGACTGGGTTTTCGGTGTCTGTGCATAGTGCAGTTCACTACCGATTGGTGGTATGCTTTGTTGATTTCCGTTTATACAGCAGTGTTGAACGCCTCACCTACTGGTGATGTACGTTCTGTAGGATTTGTGTGGTATTCATCCCACCCTCAGACAATCTCGGCGTCAAACCAGTTGACTTGATTTGAACACACATTACATAAACTGTGTGCAACATCAACTGCCCTATCCGCTCATGCGTTCTGCCATCCATTCTTTTGTGGACTCATAGTAATCTCTCAGTTTAGGCGAATGCTGTGTATTTTGTGAAAATCGGTTGCTCACATACCTCTCGTTAGCATATGAGACCTTGTTCAAAATATCATGGCTAAAATGTTCGAATGACACCTGATCACTGTGACAATAAGGTAGTACACTCTCACCGAATTGACTGAGAATCTAGTGACTATTATCATATCTGACACAGACTAACGTGGCATTATTCCACACACTGATAATCATACCGTCTATGGATTACATGTTACCTTCTATGGATTGCCATTTTCGGGGACTGTCACAGGCTAAATTTTTTCATCGGCGAACATAGGATGCAAACTTCACCAAACACTTCACTCTGTCTAACGGTTGTCAATAACTTGGAATTGATAGTGTTCTCTGAGCTCCTTGGTTTAATTGCGGAGCTTTCATCGTCTTTCTGGACGACATCTTCAGCGCAGTATTTACCATAAAGTGAAATGATTTAAATTTCTTCATGAGTCTCCCGGTAACCATCTTTAGATATTTATTGACCGTTTTCTATTGTCAATAACACAAGAATATACAACGCACAAACAAATGTGCTCAACAATATCTCCCCTCCACTAACTTACTCAATTCAATGGCTTGATCACTCGACTCTTGACCACTACTCGATGTCTGAATAGTTGCTGTTGGTGGTGGTAGTGTTGCTGCTGCTGTTGTTGTTGTTGTTGTTGACACGACAGACTGGTTTGTTGAAGCCACATTTGAGGAGTCTGGAAGTGGAGAGGTAGTAGAAGAAGAAGAAGAAGAAGTGGAATCAGATAATTGAATATAGAAGGATGTTGTGGTGAAACTGTCCTACACATTTCAATGATAAACACACACACACACACACACATACACAATTGCACTTTCGAATCTGTATGTGCAGTTGACTGGGTTTTCGGTGTCTGTGCATAGTGCAGTTCACTACCGATTGGTGGTATGCTTCGTTGATTTCCGTTTATACAGCAGTGTTGAACGCCTCACCTACTGGTGATGTACGTTCTGTAGGATTTGTGTGGTATTCATCCCACCCTCAGACAATCTCGGCGTCAAACCAGTTGACTTGATTTGAACACACATTACATAAACTGTGTGCAACATCAACTGCCCTATCCGCTCATGCGTTCTGCCATCCATTCTTTTGTGGACTCATAGTAATCTCTCAGTTTAGGCGAATGCTGTGTATTTTGTGAAAATCGGTTGCTCACATACCTCTCGTTAGCATATGAGACCTTGTTCAAAATATCATGGCTAAAATGTTCGAATGACACCTGATCACTGTGACAATAAGGTAGTACACTCTCACCGAATTGACTGAGAATCTAGTGACTATTATCATATCTGACACAGACTAACGTGGCATTATTCCACACACTGATAATCATACCGTCTATGGATTACATGTTACCTTCTATGGATTGCCATTTTCGGGGACTGTCACAGGCTAAATTTTTTCATCGGCGAACATAGGATGCAAACTTCACCAAACACTTCACTCTGTCTAACGGTTGTCAATAACTTGGAATTGATAGTGTTCTCTGAGCTCCTTGGTTTAATTGCGGAGCTTTCATCGTCTTTCTGGACGACATCTTCAGCGCAGTATTTACCATAAAGTGAAATGATTTAAATTTCTTCATGAGTCTCCCGGTAACCATCTTTAGATATTTATTGACCGTTTTCTATTGTCAATAACACAAGAATATACAACGCACAAACAAATGTGCTCAACGATATCTCCCCTCCACTAACTTACTCAATTCAATGGCTTGATCACTCGACTCTTGACCACTACTCGATGTCTGAATAGTTGCTGTTGGTGGTGGTAGTGTTGCTGCTGCTGTTGTTGTTGTTGTTGTTGACACGACAGACTGGTTTGTTGAAGCCACATTTGAGGAGTCTGGAAGTGGAGAGGTAGTAGAAGAAGAAGAAGAAGAAGTGGAATCAGATAATTGAATATAGAAGGATGTTGTGGTGAAACTGTCCTACACATTTCAATGATAAACACACACACACACACACACATACACAATTGCACTTTCGAATCTGTATGTGCAGTTGACTGGGTTTTCGGTGTCTGTGCATAGTGCAGTTCACTACCGATTGGTGGTATGCTTCGTTGATTTCCGTTTATACAGCAGTGTTGAACGCCTCACCTACTGGTGATGTACGTTCTGTAGGATTTGTGTGGTATTCATCCCACCCTCAGACAATCTCGGCGTCAAACCAGTTGACTTGATTTGAACACACATTACATAAACTGTGTGCAACATCAACTGCCCTATCCGCTCATGCGTTCTGCCATCCATTCTTTTGTGGACTCATAGTAATCTCTCAGTTTAGGCGAATGCTGTGTATTTTGTGAAAATCGGTTGCTCACATACCTCTCGTTAGCATATGAGACCTTGTTCAAAATATCATGGCTAAAATGTTCGAATGACACCTGATCACTGTGACAATAAGGTAGTACACTCTCACCGAATTGACTGAGAATCTAGTGACTATTATCATATCTGACACAGACTAACGTGGCATTATTCCACACACTGATAATCATACCGTCTATGGATTACATGTTACCTTCTATGGATTGCCATTTTCGGGGACTGTCACAGGCTAAATTTTTTCATCGGCGAACATAGGATGCAAACTTCACCAAACACTTCACTCTGTCTAACGGTTGTCAATAACTTGGAATTGATAGTGTTCTCTGAGCTCCTTGGTTTAATTGCGGAGCTTTCATCGTCTTTCTGGACGACATCTTCAGCGCAGTATTTACCATAAAGTGAAATGATTTAAATTTCTTCATGAGTCTCCCGGTAACCATCTTTAGATATTTATTGACCGTTTTCTATTGTCAATAACACAAGAATATACAACGCACAAACAAATGTGCTCAACAATATCTCCCCTCCACTAACTTACTCAATTCAATGGCTTGATCACTCGACTCTTGACCACTACTCGATGTCTGAATAGTTGCTGTTGGTGGTGGTAGTGTTGCTGCTGCTGTTGTTGTTGTTGTTGTTGACACGACAGACTGGTTTGTTGAAGCCACATTTGAGGAGTCTGGAAGTGGAGAGGTAGTAGAAGAAGAAGAAGAAGAAGTGGAATCAGATAATTGAATATAGAAGGATGTTGTGGTGAAACTGTCCTACACATTTCAATGATAAACACACACACACACACACATACACAATTGCACTTTCGAATCTGTATGTGCAGTTGACTGGGTTTTCGGTGTCTGTGCATAGTGCAGTTCACTACCGATTGGTGGTATGCTTTGTTGATTTCCGTTTATACAGCAGTGTTGAACGCCTCACCTACTGGTGATGTACGTTCTGTAGGATTTGTGTGGTATTCATCCCACCCTCAGACAATCTCGGCGTCAAACCAGTTGACTTGATTTGAACACACATTACATAAACTGTGTGCAACATCAACTGCCCTATCCGCTCATGCGTTCTGCCATCCATTCTTTTGTGGACTCATAGTAATCTCTCAGTTTAGGCGAATGCTGTGTATTTTGTGAAAATCGGTTGCTCACATACCTCTCGTTAGCATATGAGACCTTGTTCAAAATATCATGGCTAAAATGTTCGAATGACACCTGATCACTGTGACAATAAGGTAGTACACTCTCACCGAATTGACTGAGAATCTAGTGACTATTATCATATCTGACACAGACTAACGTGGCATTATTCCACACACTGATAATCATACCGTCTATGGATTACATGTTACCTTCTATGGATTGCCATTTTCGGGGACTGTCACAGGCTAAATTTTTTCATCGGCGAACATAGGATGCAAACTTCACCAAACACTTCACTCTGTCTAACGGTTGTCAATAACTTGGAATTGATAGTGTTCTCTGAGCTCCTTGGTTTAATTGCGGAGCTTTCATCGTCTTTCTGGACGACATCTTCAGCGCAGTATTTACCATAAAGTGAAATGATTTAAATTTCTTCATGAGTCTCCCGGTAACCATCTTTAGATATTTATTGACCGTTTTCTATTGTCAATAACACAAGAATATACAACGCACAAACAAATGTGCTCAACAATATCTCCCCTCCACTAACTTACTCAATTCAATGGCTTGATCACTCGACTCTTGACCACTACTCGATGTCTGAATAGTTGCTGTTGGTGGTGGTAGTGTTGCTGCTGCTGTTGTTGTTGTTGTTGTTGTTGACACGACAGACTGGTTTGTTGAAGCCACATTTGAGGAGTCTGGAAGTGGAGAGGTAGTAGAAGAAGAAGAAGAAGAAGTGGAATCAGATAATTGAATATAGAAGGATGTTGTGGTGAAACTGTCCTACACATTTCAATGATAAACACACACACACACACACATACACAATTGCACTTTCGAATCTGTATGTGCAGTTGACTGGGTTTTCGGTGTCTGTGCATAGTGCAGTTCACTACCGATTGGTGGTATGCTTTGTTGATTTCCGTTTATACAGCAGTGTTGAACGCCTCACCTACTGGTGATGTACGTTCTGTAGGATTTGTGTGGTATTCATCCCACCCTCAGACAATCTCGGCGTCAAACCAGTTGACTTGATTTGAACACACATTACATAAACTGTGTGCAACATCAACTGCCCTATCCGCTCATGCGTTCTGCCATCCATTCTTTTGTGGACTCATAGTAATCTCTCAGTTTAGGCGAATGCTGTGTATTTTGTGAAAATCGGTTGCTCACATACCTCTCGTTAGCATATGAGACCTTGTTCAAAATATCATGGCTAAAATGTTCGAATGACACCTGATCACTGTGACAATAAGGTAGTACACTCTCACCGAATTGACTGAGAATCTAGTGACTATTATCATATCTGACACAGACTAACGTGGCATTATTCCACACACTGATAATCATACCGTCTATGGATTACATGTTACCTTCTATGGATTGCCATTTTCGGGGACTGTCACAGGCTAAATTTTTTCATCGGCGAACATAGGATGCAAACTTCACCAAACACTTCACTCTGTCTAACGGTTGTCAATAACTTGGAATTGATAGTGTTCTCTGAGCTCCTTGGTTTAATTGCGGAGCTTTCATCGTCTTTCTGGACGACATCTTCAGCGCAGTATTTACCATAAAGTGAAATGATTTAAATTTCTTCATGAGTCTCCCGGTAACCATCTTTAGATATTTATTGACCGTTTTCTATTGTCAATAACACAAGAATATACAACGCACAAACAAATGTGCTCAACAATATCTCCCCTCCACTAACTTACTCAATTCAATGGCTTGATCACTCGACTCTTGACCACTACTCGATGTCTGAATAGTTGCTGTTGGTGGTGGTAGTGTTGCTGCTGCTGTTGTTGTTGTTGTTGTTGACACGACAGACTGGTTTGTTGAAGCCACATTTGAGGAGTCTGGAAGTGGAGAGGTAGTAGAAGAAGAAGAAGAAGAAGTGGAATCAGATAATTGAATATAGAAGGATGTTGTGGTGAAACTGTCCTACACATTTCAATGATAAACACACACACACACACACACATACACAATTGCACTTTCGAATCTGTATGTGCAGTTGACTGGGTTTTCGGTGTCTGTGCATAGTGCAGTTCACTACCGATTGGTGGTATGCTTTGTTGATTTCCGTTTATACAGCAGTGTTGAACGCCTCACCTACTGGTGATGTACGTTCTGTAGGATTTGTGTGGTATTCATCCCACCCTCAGACAATCTCGGCGTCAAACCAGTTGACTTGATTTGAACACACATTACATAAACTGTGTGCAACATCAACTGCCCTATCCGCTCATGCGTTCTGCCATCCATTCTTTTGTGGACTCATAGTAATCTCTCAGTTTAGGCGAATGCTGTGTATTTTGTGAAAATCGGTTGCTCACATACCTCTCGTTAGCATATGAGACCTTGTTCAAAATATCATGGCTAAAATGTTCGAATGACACCTGATCACTGTGACAATAAGGTAGTACACTCTCACCGAATTGACTGAGAATCTAGTGACTATTATCATATCTGACACAGACTAACGTGGCATTATTCCACACACTGATAATCATACCGTCTATGGATTACATGTTACCTTCTATGGATTGCCATTTTCGGGGACTGTCACAGGCTAAATTTTTTCATCGGCGAACATAGGATGCAAACTTCACCAAACACTTCACTCTGTCTAACGGTTGTCAATAACTTGGAATTGATAGTGTTCTCTGAGCTCCTTGGTTTAATTGCGGAGCTTTCATCGTCTTTCTGGACGACATCTTCAGCGCAGTATTTACCATAAAGTGAAATGATTTAAATTTCTTCATGAGTCTCCCGGTAACCATCTTTAGATATTTATTGACCGTTTTCTATTGTCAATAACACAAGAATATACAACGCACAAACAAATGTGCTCAACAATATCTCCCCTCCACTAACTTACTCAATTCAATGGCTTGATCACTCGACTCTTGACCACTACTCGATGTCTGAATAGTTGCTGTTGGTGGTGGTAGTGTTGCTGCTGCTGTTGTTGTTGTTGTTGTTGACACGACAGACTGGTTTGTTGAAGCCACATTTGAGGAGTCTGGAAGTGGAGAGGTAGTAGAAGAAGAAGAAGTGGAATCAGATAATTGAATATAGAAGGATGTTGTGGTGAAACTGTCCTACACATTTCAATGATAAACACACACACACACACACACACATACACAATTGCACTTTCGAATCTGTATGTGCAGTTGACTGGGTTTTCGGTGTCTGTGCATAGTGCAGTTCACTACCGATTGGTGGTATGCTTCGTTGATTTCCGTTTATACAGCAGTGTTGAACGCCTCACCTACTGGTGATGTACGTTCTGTAGGATTTGTGTGGTATTCATCCCACCCTCAGACAATCTCGGCGTCAAACCAGTTGACTTGATTTGAACACACATTACATAAACTGTGTGCAACATCAACTGCCCTATCCGCTCATGCGTTCTGCCATCCATTCTTTTGTGGACTCATAGTAATCTCTCAGTTTAGGCGAATGCTGTGTATTTTGTGAAAATCGGTTGCTCACATACCTCTCGTTAGCATATGAGACCTTGTTCAAAATATCATGGCTAAAATGTTCGAATGACACCTGATCACTGTGACAATAAGGTAGTACACTCTCACCGAATTGACTGAGAATCTAGTGACTATTATCATATCTGACACAGACTAACGTGGCATTATTCCACACACTGATAATCATACCGTCTATGGATTACATGTTACCTTCTATGGATTGCCATTTTCGGGGACTGTCACAGGCTAAATTTTTTCATCGGCGAACATAGGATGCAAACTTCACCAAACACTTCACTCTGTCTAACGGTTGTCAATAACTTGGAATTGATAGTGTTCTCTGAGCTCCTTGGTTTAATTGCGGAGCTTTCATCGTCTTTCTGGACGACATCTTCAGCGCAGTATTTACCATAAAGTGAAATGATTTAAATTTCTTCATGAGTCTCCCGGTAACCATCTTTAGATATTTATTGACCGTTTTCTATTGTCAATAACACAAGAATATACAACGCACAAACAAATGTGCTCAACAATATCTCCCCTCCACTAACTTACTCAATTCAATGGCTTGATCACTCGACTCTTGACCACTACTCGATGTCTGAATAGTTGCTGTTGGTGGTGGTAGTGTTGCTGCTGCTGTTGTTGTTGTTGTTGTTGACACGACAGACTGGTTTGTTGAAGCCACATTTGAGGAGTCTGGAAGTGGAGAGGTAGTAGAAGAAGAAGAAGTGGAATCAGATAATTGAATATAGAAGGATGTTGTGGTGAAACTGTCCTACACATTTCAATGATAAACACACACACACACACACACACATACACAATTGCACTTTCGAATCTGTATGTGCAGTTGACTGGGTTTTCGGTGTCTGTGCATAGTGCAGTTCACTACCGATTGGTGGTATGCTTCGTTGATTTCCGTTTATACAGCAGTGTTGAACGCCTCACCTACTGGTGATGTACGTTCTGTAGGATTTGTGTGGTATTCATCCCACCCTCAGACAATCTCGGCGTCAAACCAGTTGACTTGATTTGAACACACATTACATAAACTGTGTGCAACATCAACTGCCCTATCTGCTCATGCGTTCTGCCATCCATTCTTTTGTGGACTCATAGTAATCTCTCAGTTTAGGCGAATGCTGTGTATTTTGTGAAAATCGGTTGCTCACATACCTCTCGTTAGCATATGAGACCTTGTTCAAAATATCATGGCTAAAATGTTCGAATGACACCTGATCACTGTGACAATAAGGTAGTACACTCTCACCGAATTGACTGAGAATCTAGTGACTATTATCATATCTGACACAGACTAACGTGGCATTATTCCACACACTGATAATCACACCGTCTATGGATTACATGTTACCTTCTATGGATTGCCATTTTCGGGGACTGTCACAGGCTAAATTTTTTCATCGGCGAACATAGGATGCAAACTTCACCAAACACTTCACTCTGTCTAACGGTTGTCAATAACACAAGAATATACAACGCACAAACAAATGTGCTCAACAATATCTCCCCTCCACTAACTTACTCAATTCAATGGCTTGATCACTCGACTCTTGACCACTACTCGATGTCTGAATAGTTGTTGTTGGTGGTGGTAGTGTTGGTGCTGTTGCTGTTGTTGACGCGACCGACTGGTTTGCTGAAGCCACATTCGAGTAGTCTGGAAGTGGAGAGTTAAGGGAATAATTCGACGATGAATGTTGATTATAAAATGTGGATGAGATGACTGTCTATATAATTTTTTTGGCATATCTTCTCTCCTTTTTATAATCCTGAAGGATTTTTTCTCTTATGTTTTTTTGGCATACGCGTGTGTTGTTTATTCACGCTCTACCGGTATTGCGATACCAGTGTTTTTTTTCTATTCTGCAAATCGTCTGTGTTAGCTTCCCGCATTTCTGTGGTGTGCATGGGAATTCTCGCATGTTTTATTGATGCCCACCTCATTGCTTGTAGACTCTATTCTTTTTTTTCTCTGACCACTCAGACGTGTGTTTATATGTCTTCGGGTGACTGGTCTTTGTGATGCAGAATTTATCAATATTGAAATCCTACATAAAAAGATTGTAACGGAGATAGTGAATGTGGTAATTTCTTCATTACTTGTCAAACTGTCTACAAGCTGTGCTCCGCCATTTCCTTAACGTCTTTAATCTATTACACTTCATTGATTGTTCACTGTCATATTTATGTATTTATCTTTTGTTGTTTTTTTATTTTCTTCTGATTTCATCAAAATTGTGATAACAACCACAATGTTTATACATTTAGATAATTCACTGGACATTATCATATAGTTATGCAAAGTATGCCTGATACTTTTTTCCGGATCTTATCACACATACATATACACTAGTGAAAACGTAATGGAAAGTATAAAACATCAAAGATATGGAGAAAATAACAAACGAAAATAAAAATGGAGAGAGAGAGTATGATATATACATGCATGTTGACTCATTACCTAATTTGTAATTCAATCACTCTCGTCATTAGCATAGTTTGTGGATGTGAGCAATAAATCAATTTTCGACTTTCATATAGTTTAGTTTATTCAAATATCGTACACATATACTTGTTTAAACAAAACAGTAAATATTTTCTTCCTTGTGTGTGTGTGTGTGTTGCGAGGGTGGAGGGTGACTGCTCATGCACGCAGGTGAACAACAGGAAGTAGACAGAAACGTAAAGCATAGATACTATTTAAATTCTGTATTTATCTTGACCAGAACATTTATTCAGCTTAAAGTACTATATCAGATTACATGACTGCATTGTATTTTGTTCCCTGTAATTAGCTATACAAGAATATCTAAATGTGTTGATTTATTGGTGCCTATGAATCGTCTTAATAGAGTTGAATTAAATAGACAATTTATTAGTGTTTAGAATTAGTAAAAAAAACAAATTATTTATATTTTTGAGTATTGATTCATTTCAAGTTTCATCACATATTGGCTTAAGCTAGAGAAGCAGTAAAAACCATGGAGTATTGGGTAGCTGAAGAGTCTTGAATTAGGAAGAAACAGTTTTACATCATTTCCTGGTTTTCGATGGTTTTGTGACTAAAGTTATTTAGTGAACAGGCTTGAAATTACGTAATGAAACGCTACTTAAAATAACTCTAATCTTTTTCGTAAATTTTTTGTGGTTTAAATCACAGCCACTTGAATAGAATTTCTCAAATTTTCTCTATTAAGTGTCAACAGTTGGATAGTCAGACGTTATACAAAATAAAGTGGACTTGTATGAAGGTCGTTTGGTCAAGACTCAGTTAGACTAAACGATCAAACTTCCCCAAAAAGTTTCTTAACGTCTATGAACTAGATACTCATGAAGCTAAAAGGAGTGATTCAGTGAAGAGACTTTTTTCAACGAATTTATCATCAAGCTGTACAATCGTATATATATGGTTTTTAAGAAGTTATATCCGGTGAGGGGATTCATTCATAGGTGTGAATGCATAAAATAATAATAGTAGTATGAAATGCAATTGAAGTATTTGTGATTATAATCATAGTTATATGTCGAGTGGCAAAACAATTAGTGTCATATATAGAATAGCTCATAGGATGTATAGTACTTGGAAGGGGTGTGAAATTATAGGATTAGTAGGCAAATCGAAGAAAAATAGAAAGGTTACGTAATATTGTGTGAAATTTGATAACATAGAATTTAACGTTGCAAAACAGAATTGATTTAGAATGACAAGTGGAACAAGTGAAATAATACCGAGGACAGTTCAAAATGAGAATAGTAATAGTAACAATTGACTTAATAGAGGAAGAGTGTACAAATTGAATAGGTAAAAGGAAAAAATGATAGAGCTAAAATATGATCAAGGAATACCATAATTTAGCATAAAGGGATGAAGACCATGAAAGTTGGAGGGGTTGAAAGAACTTTTTCTATACACAGAGATCTGGCTTTTCTGTTTCGATAGCCAAAGCTTCAGCAGTACAGATGACTCGAGTACGTAGGGATTTGGATAAATTACTCTTTGCTTTGTAGATGACTTTAAAGGCAGAGGCTACAGAGATAGGATAATTATTATCGACCAGAAGTTCAATGATCGCGCTTCTTATTGCTCCACTTCCACCTCTTTGTATCCATGCAGGACAGTGTTCCTGCAACCTCTTGGACAAAACTTGATTCGAACGACTGATATACCTAGCTCTACATGAGAAGATAAATTGATAAACGCACATAGAGTTAGTCAACAGCAGGATCTTGTCATTCAGGTCATTGAACGTTACTGGTCGACTGGTAAAGGTTATTCTTTGTTTTTATTATCGCCACATTTTTAATGTTATAGGTAACTGAACAAGCTGTTTGCTCCTAAAAAAAATACTTGTTGCTTAAAGAAGATCAGTTTTAGTAACTTGATGATATTTAGTTCTAGATAATTTGCGCCACTGACTATTAGCCTTTGGACGTGTAACCTTTGCTTCTTGAAGTTTCCAGGTTCTAACATCACACAAGAATGCTAATGAAGTGTTTACAAACTTTTTTAGCCTGATGATGAAAAACCCACATTTGAATACATTTAAAGGAATGATGAGCAACTGCTGTTGTTAGACGGTTGAAGGCAATCTGGATGGTGTCTTGTATTTATTTCCTGTGCTTATCGCCGCTTGTTAATAAGATTTATCTACAGCCTCAGCGGAACCAATGCCTTGTCTGAGATTCAAGTCCGCGTCACAGTGTGGGTGACCAACTAATAGGTAATTTTGTTTTAAAGTACAGTGAATACCTTTAAGTCTGACAAAAAAGGCATAGAATAATATCCTTTATAAGTGCATTCAGTTCAATAATTTTCCTATGAAGTATACAACTATCGGGCATAAATATGTTTACGTCACCTCCATAATTTTTCATCTTTATCACTTAGTCTTTTAAGAAACCTTATCGCTACCTAATTTGAATTAGCACGTCATTCCCCAAAATAAAAGGCACTCACTAAAACTGTGAAAAGCTTTAGTACTGCGGATTGAGTAAAATTGTCCAGAAAGGTATTTGTTCAGAATGTGTAATAATTTTGATAATGTTTCGAGCAGCGTTACTGTCTGTAATTACATCGTTCATGTGGTTAACAGCTATTCTGAGTCACAGTTGTACCTCTGCAACATTCTGACCAAACGAAATTAACCTGTCGCCATCTCAAAGACATGAAACTCCATAAAGGCAACAGTCAAATGTAGCCATACATATATTTCCTCTCCATAACAAGTGATTTCCAAAGGCGATGACGAGCTCATCTAAACTAAAACCAGCTAGTGTTTATACTACAAAAAGACCTTATCTTATACTGTCACTTATTTAACTAAGATTCGCCAAGCATAGCCTATAACTTGAAATAATATCTCCCGTAAGGTTCTGTGAGAGGTTGATAACGTCATGTTTTACAGGTTGAACCTCTAAGCAAATAAGTGATGGTGTTTACCTTAGGAGTAACTTAACTTACTACAGGAACAACATATATTTAATTTGGTCACACATAAAGATCAAAAGGCCAGAAAGAATTAGCAACAACGAACTCTGGAAACAAACTAACCATATTGGGTAATCATTCGCCCAGCTGAAGAGGATAGCAGAAAATGGAACGAAGTGCAGATGTTTTGTTGAAGCCCTATGTTCTACTAGGAACCCAAGGTAGCAATAATAATAATATTTTCCTGTTTTTCAAGACAGCTAAATGATGCAACAGAAAGAATGTCTCCGCTCACGTAAGCCGAACATGCTATATTAAGCACCTCATCACCGCTTGAACCATTAGTAGTAGCAACTAAACTTTTGTCATCGTCTACGTTAAAGAGACCATTGCTGTTCGGCTTTATGTCTCCAACAGGTATTATAGTATGTAAAATTGAAAGAATAGTGAACTGTTCGTAGTCTAAAAGCCAGAACAGATACTAAAATGGTTCTAATACAATTCATAGAGGAAGTGATTCAGAATTTTAACTCAAAGATGAAACTAGTCGAGTAATGAATATATGGGATTTTGAGCATAGTAAAAGTGAAAAATCTTGTTATTATTTTCGAAACTGTCAAAATAAATTAGATAAGTAGTACACCTGATAATAAATGCATTGCAGGAAATTTTAAACCTTAACGCCTTAAGATGCTATTGCAAATAAATTAAGAGTATAGTGTGGCAATGATTTAAGTTTTTTTCTAATTGATATACATCAAGATAAGCCCAAACAACACTTTTCGCCCCTTTCTTTTGCCCCAAACAAGCACACTATCTGAGTCTGAAGCTCAGCCGTACCAACTAGATAAGTTCTAAACCCCTTTCTCTGAATTATATTAATTTTTTATGTTATATACCTTTCTTCAGAGCACATTACTTAAGTGGGTTTCTGATTTGCATTTTGTCATCAGTACTTCCAAGTTAGTTAGAGTAATGATTTATTGCGTAACTAAGCAGACTACGTTTGGTAGGGCTGCTATAGTATAACTTGTCAATAGCACTTTCAATAACTTACAAGCGTATAAAGCAGATAAGGTTTCTTCATTTCTTGTCGTTGACAATAATAATTAAATATGTATTAATTGAGCATTGTTTTGAGCCACATAGATACGAAAAATTCCTCTCACCAATATCCGTAGGGTACTGAAATGACAGTGATTGGAATGCATTATAAAAATTACTGAACGTCATTCACAAAGGTGTAGATTAATTCCCTTCAGGGCATCTGTAGGCTTTGAACATCTCTAAATGGGACGTTCAGATCATCAGTTGGGCAAATGTGTCTGCCCCTTAGGAACTTCTACATTCTGTAAAGCTTCATCAGTCCTCATCCGAATATTCTGCTTGTCGTAAATATAGCTATTACTCGCACTGTCGTTCTATTTCTACTCCACTACTTTGAGTTTATTTTCCAAATCTCAAAACTTGAACTGACGCACTTCTGGGCAAAGTCTTATGTTAATCCATCAATCAAAGGTATCTTAACACTTGTGCTGCTATAAGAAGCCATGATTAATGCACTTGCTTAAAGTAGGATGTCAATGGAGTTGAAGATTGAACGATCAATTCTTGGTTGTTTGCTTAAAATCAACTTCCCCAATTTTCGCGGAGGCATCAATACGACAGTCATCGTCTCATCGGTCGCTGTTCAGAAAGAAGAGCGAAACATCGTCAGAAGTAATACAATGAATTATTATTGTAATATTTGTTTTCAGACCTTAGTTCGCTTATTCCTTTTATATGTTGGTGTAACAATAAACAAATATCAAGCGGTAGATCGGTGTTTTGGTTTTTGCGTCCGTTATAACTAAGCGTTTCTGAAATCTTCGAAGAGCAGCGTGGGCCCGAGCGTAGCGAGAGCTGGGCATTAACGGTTTATGAGACGTGATTGACATAGGATCAGCTTTGAAGCTCAACAACATTCTTTATGAGTCTAGTTTCAAGAAATCTGCGCAATACTGAAAACAGCTGACATGTTAGCCAAAGACCTTTTTCAAGGTAACATGGATATATATGAGAATAATTTCATAGGTTATAACTGCGCTCAGTGAATATGGCTAAAATAAGCCACCATGTCCTACATCACCATCTGTAACAACCTTTTGTCATACTTCGCCATAAATTAGGCACCACAACATTTGTCACCTGGTCATGCCGCGAAAATTCAAAATTCCATAAGTCAGCTGGTTTAATAATAATAATAATGATTTACTGACTGTGCAGCTGTGATTTGCACCAGCTTTGAAATTCTCACTCAATAACTAAACACCTGTCTGTAAAGTGACTGTAATCTACTGAAAGAAATTCAGAAGTCAACCCAGTCGGAGATGCACATGGGCAAACTGAGCGAAATGTCGGACAAAAAGGAGTTTCTATCGACGAAGACGTGGCCGAAAAACGAGAAGAATGCAACATAATTCACGCACTTTGCCCGTGTCACCCGCCGTTTTAGCTTTGCCCACTATGGGATGGAAAACTGCCCACGTTTTTATCCACATATCCCATGTCTGAAAAAAATATTCCCTGATTGAAACACCATGATTTATTCACTTTCCAGCTAGCAGTGACTTCAAGCACAGTGCGGAAACTTTCAGGTGGACTGCAGATAACTGTCTCACTTCCTGCTATGAGCCTAAAGTGTTTGGCCCCGAAATTTCTGCAGTGCGCCCAAAGAAAATGCTAGATGAGTTTAAACTGAGGAGTTTCAAGGCTTCAACTTCCTTTATAAATAAACTTATGTACTCGGCATAGCATACACTCAGGGTGCAGAGGCTTAAGACCAAAATTTGTAATATGAACTATTATTATACGTATAAGGTACTTACTCGAAATGCCATCAACTATTTTTAAACTTGACGTTACTTCAGCGGTCGCTAATTCTGTCATAACAGAGTTTTCAAGCTGCTGACAGTATGTTGCTGACGCAATAATCTGATACAGCAACAGTGTCCTGACATTTGCATAGCCTTTAGTATGTAAGTTAACCGAATTGGATAATTACTCTTACCACAATAAAAACTGCCAAGCAATAGAAATAAATGCATTAACCAGTAACTTGTCATTAATATTTATGTAAAATTGAAAACAGAAGATTCTGCATCGATAAAACAACAATTTGATCCATTATCAAAATTCCTTTGGGAAACAAGTAGCCGCGATAACAAAATATGGACTTTAAAAAACGCGGTAACACAATATCCAATGTCCTGTCACACAATATCCAATATCATTTTACGAGCTAGTTTTAACGAGTTTAGACTGATCGTATGTGTCACGTTGTCTTGAAATTTCTCTTGGAAAAATTTTTTGTCAATAGGTTTAATAAAATGGTGTTATATGTTATCTGAATTGATGGGAATATTCATTTCCTGGCTAGTTACCTTGGTGTCTATGCCATGTGATCTGACTGTGACACACTCTTAGCATATTAGTTGCAATGATCAGACTTTCAGGCGGTTTGTGTCAAAATAATGCTATAATGAGCAAAATGGGATAGTTGAAGGGTAATGTCATCTACACAAATCATTAACTCCATGTACAAGCTTCAAAATTCGACATAGTATCATTCAATGAAGATATCACGTCTCAGAATATCAATGCAGAATATTCAATATTTAGTATCCAGTATCGATTTTACAAGCTAGTATAAACTAATTTGATTTCTGTGTGCTCGCCTCTTGGTTGTGAGGTATGGGCTCCTGATCTTCGGTAAACTTCTGCGTAGCTCGTTCCGCCACTTGACTGTCGTAGCTTTGGTTGGCTCCAAAAGGAGTAGTGCTGGGAATAATTACATGTGGTTTGTAACATGAGGTATGTTAAGGCTGTTGCTAGTGTGAATGGAGTTTATCTTTTCGCCAGTTAGTCCTCCGGTATCGTCGTCAAAAGAAAGGAGATAATAAAAATGATAATAAAAGTAATAGTAGATATAATTAGCGAAGTTATTCAGACTAACAGACAGAAAAAGAAATAAGAAAACGTAACGACAGTCAGCTGATTAAATTTGAAGAATAATATGAATAATATATATATATCGGTAATAACGGTAATAATAATAATGGGTGTAGACAAAGTCGTCAGGGGAGTAAGACGGGAGAGAATGTGAAGAAGTAAAACGACAAGTTTAATTGCCTGCCCCTGAATGGTGTACGCGATTTTAGGGGGATAGGCCATTTGGATGCATTTCTTGTGTTGCTGAATGATCGTCCAGCCTTCGCTTAAAGGTGTCCACAGACGGTGTGATAGCTACATCTGCCGATAAGGAGTTCCAGTCATGGCGAACCTGCAGTCAAAAGAAGTGGGAGCGCACCCGGGTCCCTGGCCTCTGGTGAGCTATTCTTCTGGGATTTCCACGAGGGAGCCTATACCTACTCAATGGCAGAACAACTTTGTTTAGGTGATTCTGGCCATTTGTCATTTTGTAGGCAGTCAATAAATCCCCCCTAAGATGTTGATAGCTAAGTGTGAATAGTTGAATTGAATTTTTGATTTTCCCGTCGATTGATTGGACCGAAGTGCTCGGTCTCAGGTTGACATGTCGGCTTCTTGTGCAGATGCTTCGACGATGTCTGGGCATTTAGTTAGTATACAATTGGTGGATGGTGGCTAGCAGTGGAATCCAGGATGCGCATTTCGTCCTATTTGGGACTCGTCAGCCACTGGATGTACCTGCATTTCTCAGTGAGTGATGATGTTCCCACTGAGGCTCGAAACCAGTACCCATAGTTTCAAACGCCAAAGCGTTATCCACTAGACCACTTGGGCCACGAGAGCCACCTCTTGTGCGACGGGTCATATTAATTATTGAATTGAATTTTTGATTTTCCCGTCGATTGATTGGACCGAAGTGCTCGGTCTCAGGTTGACATGTCGGCTTCTTGTGCGCATCCTGGATTCCACTGCTAGCCACCATCCACCAATTGTATACTAATTAAATGCCCAGACATCGTCGAAGCATCTGCACAAGAAGCCGACATGTCAACCTGAGACCGAGCACTTCGGTCCAATCAATCGACGGGAAAATCAAAAATTCAATTCAATAATTAATATGACCCGTCGCACAAGAGGTGGCTCTCGTGGCCCAAGTGGTCTAGTGGATAACGCTTTGGCGTTTGAAACTATGGGTACTGGTTTCGAGCCTCAGTGGGAACATCATCACTCACTGAGAAATGCAGGTACATCCAGCTGACGAGTCCCAAATAGGACGAAATGCGCATCCTGGATTCCACTGCTAGCCACCATCCACCAATTGTAAGTGTGAATAGGCTTAATTTCTTCAGTCCTTTATCGTATGGTTTATTTCACAGACTAACCACTCCTTTTGTTGCCCGTCTCTTCTAAGCAGTGGGTGTGCAATAATATTATGCACTTCAAGGTGTGGTCTGATGTATGTTTTGTACAACCTTAGTAAGAGCTCAGGAGTGACTGCACCTAACCGTCTGTGTGTAAAGTGTATGATCGCATATGCCCTCGCTACATCCCCCGTGTAATTCAATCTTGTGTCCGTTTTTTCCGTTAGAACTAGAACTAAGTCGCGTTCCGACGTTGTGCAGGAAAAGCTTTCATCGCTCAGGGTGTAACTTGCGTTCCGCAGTCTACAGGCTGGTTACTTCACTACTTCGAACATTTTCAGGTTGAAAGTCATCCCACTGGCCACCCCCGATGTCAGTGGAGGCTCGTAAACCGTCAATGTCCAGCTCTTGATACTCTGGACCCCACGCTGTCCCTCGAAGTTTTTCAGAAACGCTTAGTATTAACCGACCCAAAAAACGAAACACTGTTTGGCGACTCAAGAATCCTTTATTCTTACGCCAACATGTAATCAACAATAATGTTTTTACAGAGGAAGGTCTAAGAACAATTGTTACAACAATAAATCATGATATTACTTCTGATTGATTTATAATCTTCCACTGGACAGCGATCGATGAGACGATGAGAGGTGTACTGATGACTCCGCGAAAAATATGGAGTTGGGTTTGAGCAAACAACCATTAATTGATCATTCGATTTTCAACTACATTGACAGCCCAGTCTTCCAGATGATTCAGATCTTCCTGCAGTCTATCTGAGTCCTCCGGAAAATATCGCCTTCCGTATCTTTACGTCGTCAGAGTATAAAAGAGTCGGGCAGCTTAAGCGGCATGGTTGGTCACTGACAAAATTCAAAAACACCGTTGGTCCTAGGATAGAACCCTGCGACACCCCTGATGACGAGCTGTGCCAAGATGATCGGACTTGATTGACCTTTGTGCAAAATTGTTTTTCAGCTGGGTAGTCTTTTAGCCATGACAGAAGTGGCTTACCTATGGCTGCCTTATATTTTGTAGGAGAAGGTCATGATGAACAGTGTCAAATGCCTTCTCAAAGTCTAGGAAGACCACGTAGACTAGAACATACCTATCCCAGCATGATGTCATATCGTCCCAAGCTGATAGTAGGTCAATATAATTATAATATAATAATAATAATATATATTTCTTCCTGTTCATGCAGAAACATACCAGTTGTACAGGCATGGATAAGTTATTATTTAAATTACACACAATTTCATGTATGGTGAATTTACAGTTTGGTTGGTCTTTCTGACATTAGAGTCAGTCGGAACAGTCTGCTATAAAGTCTGTTTGTGTAGCACATAAAGAGATATAGAAATATTGTCTTCGCATTAACAAAAAACCCAGACATCAGATGAATGTAATACAGGTACCTAGGAAAAATAAAGCTTGAAGTCAATTCTCCTATATAACTTTGTTGTGAACAGCACCCTTGGCTTAAAGTTTATTGATGTATTATGTTGAGATCAGTGATATATTTATTCCATTTTTTAGCAGTCTTATCGTAATTTTATAACAGGAAAGAAATTTGATCTTGGATGCGAAAACTAGATAAGGTCATGTTAAGTTGTTTTACTGCATCAAATGGTGCCGAGGTCGATTCCAGAATTCTCCATTTGCGCCATTTGTGTCTGCATAGCGGACTGTACACATAAGTTGAGTAAAATGTTGAAACTGTTTGAAAACCAGTTGCTTCTTCATTTCAGATCATGAATACTCATTTACAGCATGTTCGCCAGCGTCTTCAAATGGTGGAATTGGATCGTTCATGGAATTTGAGTGGTTATGAGATAACTGGTTTGGAATTAATCCTCATTTCAGTTTAGATGCAGGGTTGTTCGACCTCGACCAGAAGATGAATAGGAGCAGCAGAATACCAGAAAGAGAAAGTGTGTGAACATGGAAAGGACAATAATGTTATACGCATATATAAATGTTTATGTCGAATGTATATTATACTTTATTAAATACTTGTCTATATTGTAGTTGTGTTTTCACGTATTTATGCGAAGTCTTAGAGTTTATTTAGTGTCATAATGTTTATTAATGAGTCTGAGCGTTTTAGTGTTCTAATGACTGATGCGTTTTAGAAATAATTGGTGGGTTCTGGTCGGGATGGTCATTGGGATAAAACAGTTTATAGAGCAAGCGTTTGAAGGTTACAATAGAGTGACAGGTCCTATTTCTAGGGATAAACTGTTCCAGTATGTTCCGAACTAAATCTTCATGCATCCATCCTAGTGGTTTATTTATGGTTTTTAGTGGAGGAACTGCCTTTTCTGAAACCGTGTTGGCTTCATACAGTATATCACACCTATCGAGATATTCCCTGATGTGATCGTCAAAAATACTTTCCAGTACTCTTTATACCAGTGGGAGTAGTCCTACTGGTCTATAACTAGTGACACTTTGCCTATCCCCACCCTTGAAGATCGGAGAAAGAATGGCTCTTTTCCACTCCCGTGGCAGTTTCCCCGAATCCATTAAGTGTTGAACAAGTCGCACAGGGGCCTACAGAGAGCTTCGTTGCACTGTTTCAGAACAGATGGTCTGATGTCGCCACAACCTGGGGACTTCCCAGGTGTGAGTCGCTGAAGCTTCCTTGGTACTCTTGCTGGGTTTATTTGGGTAGGAGCCACTGGGTCTTCCTCTTATGAAATAGTAGTGTCACCACTTTGGTCCTTAACGGTAATACCCACATTGCTGTTTAGCTGTTTGGAGAAGGCCAA